CTTCCTCCTAGTGCTCCCAGGGGCCTGTATGTAATGTTAATAATTTTAGAGTTTGGCCTGATAGCAAAGGGAAACCACTGAATTATTACAGTCAATAAAATAGTTTATATTTTTTTAAAATGACTCTTTGGATAAATTGATTTTTAAAAGTATATGACTGTTTGTGGGGAAAACAGTTCAGAGAATATTATTCACCTGAGTATCAATTCTTTTATCTATAAAATAAAAATAATAGCACTACCTTCATCATGATTGTTTTGAGAATAATAAATACAAGCTGTCTAGAAAGGTGGTTAGAACACAGTAAGTACTCAAGAAATTTTAAGAATTTTTTTTCTCCTTCTATATTCCCTTCTTTTTAATTATTGCTATATAAAGTACAGAGAGGGAGTTTCTTGCAGAGACGCAAATCTGAAAGTGGTCATAATATGCCTACTATGATTTCAAACATCATACGGTGTTTGAACCCATAGCATTCAGCAGAGCGCGAGACTCCGTCTCAAAAAAAAAAAAAAAAAAAGAAGAAGAGAAAGAGAAGGAGGAGAAGAAGAAATATTGAAATATCTTGAATGGGTGCAGTGGCTCATGCCTGTAATCCCAACACGTTGGGAGGTCAAAGTGGGAAGATCACTTGAGCCCAGGAGTTGGAGATCATCCTGTGTAACTCTGTCTCTACCAAAAAAATTTAAAAATTAGCCAGACATGGTGGCTTACGCCTGTGGTCCCAGCAACTAAAGAGGCTGAGGTGGGAGGATTTCTTGAGCCCAGGAGTTTGAGACTGCAGTGAGTTATGATTACACCACTGCACTCCAGCCTGGGTAAAAGAGTGAGACCCTGTCTCTAAATAAAAGATTAAAAAAAAAAGAAGAAGAAGGTTATTGTCAGACCAGGTGGAGAGAGGGGCATCTTGGAGGGTGAGGACCTCTTCCCCCACCTCTCCGTATTATCCCCTGATCTAACTCCAGTTGTGGTAGGATCTTTAGGAGGGGAACGTGTCTTAGAGAAGTTTGGGGACTTTGGGTGTGAGGACTGAGGCCCCATCTCTGCTGAAGTTCAGACACCAAGACTGGAAGGAGAGAGAGCCATCCTGCTTTCCATCACAAGGAGGAATTGTCCGGCCTGGCCTTTGACACATACACCATAGTCCAGGTGTGTATATTTGGAGAGAGCCTTTTCAGGGTATAGAGGCATCTAATTAATGGCACAGATGGGTCCCCATTCTTTCTTCATCAACCTCTGGCATCTATCAATCTTCGCTCTCAGGAAGTCCTAACTTCGATCTCACTCTCAGCTATCTTGCTGCGGCCCGAACCTATTTCTAATCCCTGCAACCCATCCAGACTCTACTATGATCTCCCCAAGCTTCCCTCAATCTGGTCACGCCCCTCCATCCCGGGTTTTTCAGTGTGAAACTCCCTCCTCCGCTTCTTTCCCCGCCAAGCCCCGCCCCATCGTGTCGAGCCCCCCAAGACTCCGCCTAGCTCGCCCTCCTGGCCACCGCGGCAGCCAATAGCTGAGAGCCTGATTTGCAGGGCTGCGCGGGGGAGCGGCGGAGGGCAGGGGGCGGGACCAGGCGACCTCCTAAATCAAAGTTGGGCGGCGAGGACTGGGCGGAGGGGCCGCCGGGTGCCGGGCTGGGTCCGGCGGGGGAGGGGAGGGGATGGGGGGCGGGCGCAGAGGACGGCGGAACCGGCCGGACACGGACAGCTCCTTGGCTCCCTCCCTCGGCTCATCCCCGCCACCCCACTTCCCTCCTCCCCGCGCTGCGAGCAGCATCCTCTGCAGACCCTCGGTCCTCGCGCCCGGGGTCGTCCCGCTCCTGCGGCTCGGCGTGGTCGCCTCGCCTCGCCCGCCACCCCGGCAACTTTCTCCGCCTGAGCCCGCGGGTTGGGGGCTGCGGTGCCCGAGGCTAACTGGGGGCAGCCTCTGGAGAAGGGCTTCGGAGTCCCGGAAACGCCCGCCACCCGCAGCCTGCCCGCGGCGGGCCTGCCGTCGGATCTCGGCACCCTCTCCTCCCCTCTCCCCGAACCATGACCGAGATGAGCGAGAAGGAGAACGAACCGGATGACGCGGCCACTCACAGTCCTCCAGGGACCGTCTCCGCCCTCCAGGAAACCAAGGTAACTTGGGGGACGCGAGGCCTGTCCCCGCCCCGTGCGCCCCGGACCCGGGCGCCCTCTTCCTGGCGGGGTCCTCCTGTGGGCCCGGGCGTCCGAGGGTCGCGGTCGCGAGGCCGGCGTGACCACTGAGGCTCTGCGCCGCTCCCGGGGGGAGGAGTGGGTTGGCGACGAAGGGCCACGAAGACCCCCCAATCACACCAGCACCGCACGCCCGCGCGCGCCATCGCGACCTTCCAGGGAGGCGGCCACTGGTCTTCGTTGGAGAGATGGGCGCAGCGAGGCCGGAGGGCGCGCGTGGAGCGGTGCGGGCGGGGTACGCGCCCGGCTGTGCGTGCGAGGCGCACCCTCCAGCGGCCGCCGGGTCCCAGTCCCGGGCTCAGTCCGCGCCTCTGTCCTCGCTGGTGTCTCTGAATTTGTCTCTACAACCTGCGTGTCTGTGTCTTGGTGTCTCTGTGTGCGTCTCTCCCCGTCTCTCCCGGCGCCTCCTGGTGTTTATCTCCGCGTCTCAGCGTGTCCCTCCCTGCCCCTCCGCAGTCCTGCATTCCCCGCTCCTAGCCCGGTTGGGCTCGGGGAAGTGAGGCCGCGGCCGGGGGTGCGCAGCTGCGGAGTCCGCGCGGGGGCCTGCGGCAGCGCCAGCCGTCGGTCACCGGCGGGGACGGGGGCCTGCGGTTGTGGCTCCGGACCAGAAAGACAGGCAGCCCCACTCCCCACCACGGGAGCGGGACCAGGGGAGGGGGAGCGGGTAGAAGCAGAAAGAGAAGTAATTGTAATTAATGAATGTCATCATTAACCCTAATTATGGATGATTGTTACTCCTGCGGGAGTCACCGTGAATAAATTACTCCCCGCGAAGGCGGGCGGAGCCCAGACTCCTGGCGCTGAAAGTAGCGGTGGCGGGCGGGGGGGGGGGAGGCCGCCGCTCACACTCAGCACTCCCCCCACCTCTAATCCGTCTGCTCCCTTCCCAAGTTCTAGGTGCTGGCGACTGGCCCGCGAGAAGTTCTGTTTCTGCGGGAGTAACCTGAGCGGGTCTGGGGATGGGGCAGAAAGGGCTGTGCCAAGGGCGCGCCCTGCCCCCTCCCAGACTTCAGGCCAAGACCTCTTCCCTCCCCCTTTCCCCGGTATTTTGTTCCCATCCTGCTCCTGTTCTCCAGAGGCGAAAGGGGACAGTGAGGACCAGAAATGATGGGAGCCTGGGCTCTGGAGGCATGGCTCGCTCTCTGGGCTTCTTCCCACTGTCCCCCTTCCTCCTTCTTCCATCTTGACCATCCTGCAGGAGCTGAGGTTAATTCAAGGTCAAGGTCATCAAGGGAGTGATCGGGAGGAGGAGGCTGTAGGGTCAGGGTGGACTCTGGCAGAGGCACCCCAGGGAGCCCCCATCCTACACCAGGGGACCCAGCGGGTCTCCATGTTCAAGTCTTCACATGCACACCTGACCCTCTCTTGCCCCCTTCTAAAAATGAGACTTTGGTCTGTCAGGCCACAGCTGTCTCCCCTTTAGAGAGCCCAGTCTCAGTCTCTCCTGGGAAAGGACTAAGATGTTTGGGTGGGAGGATATTGCTTGGAATATTTGTGACAACTTCTGTCAAGCAGAGGGTCTGGGAGCTGAACCTCACCTAAGTCCAATACCCCTGACCTCGGTTGCCCTCTAGTCACCCTGGGAAGACATACACAGTCCCCCTGCTTGCCTCCAGGGCACTGGGGGCCTTCCCAGGCCCTGCTCTGTTTCCCACACGGAGGCCTGTCCTCTCCAGCCCCCTCTGTGGGAGCTCTGCAAGGTGGGCAGGAGTGCGGGGTGGTGCTGCCTCAGTACTCCAGGAAGCCGCCTGCTCAGCTGTGTGGGGAGGGGCGGTCAAGGCCTGCAGATCGGCACCTCTCCGTCTTCCCAGGTCAGGACCCTCCAATGTTGTCACCTCTGAGTCTGAGCTTGGAGATCCAAGGACCAGGGGAGGGGAGGGGTTACACCTCTGATCGGGCCCCTCTGTGCCAGGCCAGCTGGAGCCCTGGCCCTCCGCCCCTCCCGTATACATCACACTTGTGAAGGATTCTGCACTAACACAGACTGGGCTGTGGGTCAGGTTGGGGGTATTCAGCAGGGCAGAGGTGGGCAGAGAGAGAACTCAGGACCCCTGCTAGCCTTCTTCCATCCCACACCTCAGCCTGGCCCAAAGAAGCTCCTGTCTCCAGACTGTGTGGGTGGAGGAGATGGAAGACAGTGTGGTTGGGTGCTGCCCACCCAGCTCAGTGTGAGGCAGGTACAACAGAGGGGGCCAGTGCCCATTAGGCAGTGATGCCAACATTCCAGCCGCATTCATCAGTGTTGTTGCTCCCTGGGAATCACTGGCCAGCCTCCTGCTTGCCCCCAGGCTGAATCAACCCTGCACCCAAGCCATTCAACAACCCTCCTAGTGAGTCCTCCTCTCTTGGTCTCCATCCCTTCTTACCACATAGGGCCTGCCCATCACCCTTTGTTGCCACCCCTGGGAGGACCACCCCATGCCATCTCTGCTCTGAGTCAGCTTGCACCACGTCCGCCACCACCCACTGCCAGATGCCTCATGCCCTTTCAGGAGATGCTGTGGGGAACTGAGGAAATAAGGGGCCGTCCAGAGTATGGGGAGGTGGGGAGGAAACAGGCAGGTCTGGCCCTGTCTCTGGGAGGGGGTTCAGAAGAACAGACTCGGTGGTCCAGGCTCCAAGCTGGACAAACTCTGGGTGCATTGGGAGGGAAGAGTGACCAGGCAGGCCCACTTGCCAAGGTACATGTCAGCTTCTCCCCATGCCAGAGAATGGGTCCCAGGGAAGTGAGGGCACCAAAAATATAGTGGGGGGAAGAGGTGAGAAAAGGTCCTCTCCAGGAATGAGGAGGCCCAGGAGCAGGAATACCTGGCCTGGCTAAGCCAAAATGTGGTTTGGGTAGCCAAGCCAGACGTCTCTGGAGTGGGCAGGTATCAAGTCATTTGGCAAAGATGCCCCAACCCAGACCTGGAGCCACAGTCTGCCATTTGCCAGCCACCCCAGGTGGCATGTCATTCCTTCCCGCTTCTCCACCGCCCCCCCGCCCCCGGGATCTGGGGCTCACAGCCAAGCCAGGGAATCGGCCGGCAGAGTCGGGGCTGCCCTGGTACCCTGGAACATTCTGTTCCAGAGGCCTCTGGTACCCAGCAGAGGTGGCTCTTGGCACTGAGACCAGGGGGCACCAGGAAAGGATACAGCCTGAAGGGTAGGGAGACTTGGAACCTCCTCCAATGATGATTACTATGGAAACAAGGGCCTGGGGATGGGGGGAACATGATAGATGATGTCTTCAAATATTTGAAGGGCTGAAGTGTATGAGAGGGAGTAGCCCTTTCTGGAGCCAAGGGAGGAACACGGCTGATAGGCGAAAATCCCTGGGAGGCAGGTTTCAGCTCTATATAGGGAAGCACTTTCCAGCGATTGGAGCTGCCCAAAGATGGAATGACCGTCCCAAGAGAATACTTGCTTCCCATCACAAGAGGTGACCAACTCTTGAGAGGGGACGTGGCCAGGGCATCTCAGGGTGATAAGTTGGGGTCTGCTCTAGGTGACCAGTCTTCCAGGTCCCTTCTCACCCTAAACTCTGATTGACCTGATGGACAAGCTCCTGGCACAGCTGAGAGGCGAGGGTGAGGGCCCAGGCAGGGCCCAGTGCAGCAGGATGCTCCTGGTGCTTTGGGCTCAGCAGCCGGAGCTGCCGGTTCAAGTCCTGGCTCTGCTGTTTACCAGCTGAGGACTCCTGGGTAGGTAATTGAACCCTTATGAGCCTCAGTTCCTCATCTGAAAAGTGGGACAGTAATTATCACTACCTCCAAGGGCAGCATCAGGATTAATGAGATGCTGCATATAAAGTGCTAGCTCAATTCCAGTGTTCTGACCACAACAGCCCCTCAGAGTTGTAAGTTTCTGGGGATATTTGGACCTAGAGCCTTGTATTGCTTAGAGAGTGTCTCGTCTTGGCCGGCGCAGTGGCTCATGCCTGTAATCCCAGCACTTTGGGAGGCCGAGGTGGGTGGATCACGAGGTCAGGAGTTCGAGACCAGCCTGGCCAATATGGTGAAACCCCATCTCTACTAATAAAAATACAAAAAATTAGCCAGGTATGGTGACAGGTGCCTGTAATCCCAGTTACTTGGGAGCCTGAGGCAGGAGAATCGCTTGAACCTGGGAAGTGGAGGTTACAGTGAGCCGAAACTGCGCCACTGCACTCCAGTGTAGGCAACAGAGCGAGACTCCATCTCAAAAAAATAAAAAAAAATAAAGAGAGTATCTAGTCTTCCCAGTCTGGCACAGTGGCTCACACCTGTAATCCCAGCACTTTGGGAGGCCAAGGTGGGCAGATCACGTGAGGTCAGGAGTTTGAGACCAGCCTGGCCAACATGGTGAAACCCCATCTCTACTAAAAATAAAAAATTAGTTGAGTATGGCAGCACGCGCCTGTAGTCCCAACTACTGGGGAGGCTGAGGCAAGAGAATGGCTTGAACCCGGGAGGCGGAGTTTGCAGTGAGCGGAGATCATACCATTGCACTCCAGCCTGGGTGACAGAGTGAGACTCCATCCAAAAAAAAAAAGAGTATCTAGTCTTCCCTCTTGGAGGTGGGGAAACTGAGGCTCAGAGAGAAGAAGTGAGGTGATTTTCCTTCAGGTAGCAGGTTTAGTTTTGCCCCCAGCCCCAGCACATCCTCCAGTGACCCGGTGTGCTCCGTGCCTGAGGTCCCTGGACAGAACAGTGGATGGTTCACCTGCCTCTAGGGGCCCATCTGAGCCCCCAGAGCCACACTCAGTCCTGGCTGGCCCAGAGCCTGACCTGGGCTGGGTTTTGTGTTCTCATTAATTGTCTCTCCAGCCTTCCACCTCTGCTCCAAGGCCCAGGCATCTGGGGCCTGGAGCCTTGCTTCTCATAGATACACAAAGAAGCCCACAGTGCTATCCAGGAAGCTGGGTTTGGAAGGCATTGAGCACTTCAGTGTGCCAGACACCCCAGGGCTTTGGCCTCCCAGCTGGCACACCAGAGCCTGCCTTGTGCCCAAACATCCCCTCTGCTTCCCCCTTTGTCTTGCTGCCTGCTGGCCTCCCGGAGGCTGGAGGGGCCACCACTTCCATCCCCTTGGCAGGGTGGCCAGGCAGGCAGCCATGGCACACAGGCTGCCCAGCGTGCCAGCTGGGAACCCTGGCCAAGTCCCTCTGCCTGGAGCCAGGCTGCTGGCCCCTGTTTCTGTCTCTGGTAGAAAGGAGTGGGCAGGCGTAAGGCGGCCCTCAACGGGAAGCGAGACAGACGGCCAAGGCTCTGGGTCAAGAGGTTTCCAGACCTCTCTCTGGGAAGACTCAGTAGGGTGTGTTTGAGTGAGAGGTGGAGATAGCTCTGGCCTCACTGCAGAATCGACCCTGCCCTCCACAACATAGGGTCCATGGAGAGTCCAGCAGCTGCCTTATGTATTCACCAAAGGCCGCTGACTGAGCACCTACTATGTGCTGAGAGCCTGCGTGGGGATTTGAAGCCAGCAACTGTGCCCATCCTCAAGGGGCTCACAATCTCCTGGGGGAGTGAGAAAAATAACAAGCATCACCTGAGCGGAGGCTGTGGTGGACGTTGGGCCGGATGCAGCGGACACCAGCGGAGGGAGTGGGTCATGAGACAGAATTCCTGCAGAAGACAGTTTCCCGGAGGAGGAAGGGCCAGTGGAAGCACATTGGCAGGATAAAGAGGGTATGGACTGAGTGAGGCAGAGAAGAGGACAAACATGTCAAAAGCTCAGAGGCATAAAAGCGTGGATGAGTTCGAGAATCCTCATTTCTGGGCTGTAAAGGCACAGGTTGGAAGGCAACAGCCCCTCAGAGTTGTAAGTTTCTGGGGATATTTGGACCTAGAGCCTTGTATTGCTTAGAGAGTGTCTCGTCTTGGCCGGCGCAGTGGCTCATGCCTGTAATCCCAGCACTTTGGGAGGCCGAGGTGGGTGGATCACGAGGTCAGGAGTTCGAGACCAGCCTGGCCAATATGGTGAAACCCCATCTCTACTAATAAAAATACAAAAAATTAGCCGGGTATGGTGACAGGTGCCTGTAATCCCAGTTACTTGGGAGCCTGAGGCAGGAGAATCGCTTGAACCTGGGAAGTGGAGGTTACAGTGAGCCGAAACTGCGCCACTGCACTCCAGTGTAGGCAACAGAGCGAGACTCCATCTCAAAAAAATAAAAAAAAATAAAGAGAGTATCTAGTCTTCCCAGTCTGGCACAGTGGCTCACTGTAATCCCAGCACTTTGGGAGGCCAAGGTGGGCAGATCACGTGAGGTCAGGAGTTTGAGACCAGCCTGGCCAACATGGTGAAACCCCATCTCTACTAAAAATAAAAAATTAGTTGAGTATGGCAGCACGCGCCTGTAGTCCCAACTACTGGGGAGGCTGAGGCAAGAGAATGGCTTGAACCCGGGAGGCGGAGTTTGCAGTGAGCGGAGATCATACCATTGCACTCCAGCCTGGGTGACAGAGTGAGACTCCATCCAAAAAAAAAAAGAGTATCTAGTCTTCCCTCTTGGAGGTGGGGAAACTGAGGCTCAGAGAGAAGAAGTGAGGTGATTTTCCTTCAGGTAGCAGGTTTAGTTTTGCCCCCAGCCCCAGCACATCCTCCAGTGACCCGGTGTGCTCCGTGCCTGAGGTCCCTGGACAGAACAGTGGATGGTTCACCTGCCTCTAGGGGCCCATCTGAGCCCCCAGAGCCACACTCAGTCCTGGCTGGCCCAGAGCCTGACCTGGGCTGGGTTTTGTGTTCTCATTAATTGTCTCTCCAGCCTTCCACCTCTGCTCCAAGGCCCAGGCATCTGGGGCCTGGAGCCTTGCTTCTCATAGATACACAAAGAAGCCCACAGTGCTATCCAGGAAGCTGGGTTTGGAAGGCATTGAGCACTTCAGTGTGCCAGACACCCCAGGGCTTTGGCCTCCCAGCTGGCACACCAGAGCCTGCCTTGTGCCCAAACATCCCCTCTGCTTCCCCCTTTGTCTTGCTGCCTGCTGGCCTCCCGGAGGCTGGAGGGGCCACCACTTCCATCCCCTTGGCAGGGTGGCCAGGCAGGCAGCCATGGCACACAGGCTGCCCAGCGTGCCAGCTGGGAACCCTGGCCAAGTCCCTCTGCCTGGAGCCAGGCTGCTGGCCCCTGTTTCTGTCTCTGGTAGAAAGGAGTGGGCAGGCGTAAGGCGGCCCTCAACGGGAAGCGAGACAGACGGCCAAGGCTCTGGGTCAAGAGGTTTCCAGACCTCTCTCTGGGAAGACTCAGTAGGGTGTGTTTGAGTGAGAGGTGGAGATAGCTCTGGCCTCACTGCAGAATCGACCCTGCCCTCCACAACATAGGGTCCATGGAGAGTCCAGCAGCTGCCTTATGTATTCACCAAAGGCCGCTGACTGAGCACCTACTATGTGCTGAGAGCCTGCGTGGGGATTTGAAGCCAGCAACTGTGCCCATCCTCAAGGGGCTCACAATCTCCTGGGGGAGTGAGAAAAATAACAAGCATCACCTGAGCGGAGGCTGTGGTGGACGTTGGGCCGGATGCAGCGGACACCAGCGGAGGGAGTGGGTCATGAGACAGAATTCCTGCAGAAGACAGTTTCCCGGAGGAGGAAGGGCCAGTGGAAGCACATTGGCAGGATAAAGAGGGTATGGACTGAGTGAGGCAGAGAAGAGGACAAACATGTCAAAAGCTCAGAGGCATAAAAGCATGGATGAGTTCGAGAATCCTCATTTCTGGGCTGTAAAGGCACAGGTTGGAAGGATAGGTTTGGCTAAGTTGCAAGGAGAGCCTCACGGCTGGGGCGAGAGCCTTGGACGCTGTCCTGAGGAGCCAGGAAGGCATCACCCCACAACAGCTGTATGGAGGGCAGGTGGAAGCAGGGGGCGGGAGGGGAGGCTGTGGCCCTGAAGCAGGCTGGGGCATAAGGGCCTGAACTAAGGGCTGTGAGGTGATGAATCAATGGGAGGGGAGGGCTAGAGAGACGTTCTGGGGGGAGAATCAGTCCCAAGGATGAGGGTCTGGGACGACCACTCCTCACCCCCCACCAGCCTGTTCGAGAACACAGGTGGATACTACGTTGCCCAGGCTGGTCTCCAACTCCTTGGCTCAAGTGATTCCCTCCGGCCTCAGCCTCCCAGAGTGCTGAGATTATAGGCAGGAGCCACCACACCACGCCTATTTTTTTTTTTTAAACTTGAGTAAATGGTACACCCATGCAACAAAATATTTTGTAGCTATAAAAAAGAATGATGAATCTATTTATGTATGGGTATGGAATGATTTCCAAGATTTACTGTTTATGAAAAAAAACAAGGCACAGGAAATACGGTATACTACCATTTCTTCAAGGAAAAATGGAACTAAACCTCTTAAACTTGTTTCTATCCAATTTCACATAAAAGTCTATATTTCTTTTTTTTTTTTTTTTTTTTTTGAAGAATTTTAAAAAGTATTCCCCAAGTGTTCTGTTGCCCAGGCTGGAGTGCAGTGGCGCGATCCTGGCTCACTGCAAGCTCCGCCTCCTGGGTTCACGCCATTCTCCTGCCTCAGCCTCCCGAGTAGCTGGAACTACAGGCGCCCGCCACGGCGCCCGGCTCATTTTTTGTATTTTTAGTAGAGACGCGGTTTCACCATGGTCTCGATCTCCTGACCTTGTGATCCGCCCGCCTCGGCCTCCCAAAGTGCTGGGATTACAGGCGTGAGCCACCGCGCCCGGCAAAAGTCTATATTTCTTTTGAAAAATTAGAAAACCTGGCAACACTGGGCTGGCCTTATAGACAAGCCTTAATTGGCTTGAGGAGGTCTGCAGTTACTCCCTGGCCATCCAGTCTGCCACAGTCCCCACCACTCTTGATTGCCCGGCCAGAACTCCTTTCTCCGCGGAGGTCACCCACCGGGCTCTTGTGGCACCTGAGATTGCGAAGCATTGTCAGGACCTGGGGAGCCTCTCTCTTCCTGTTTCATTTCGCTCGACCCTTAGCCCCCATGCTGCTGCTGCTGCCGCCCCTACCTCCAGAGACACCCTGAGGGGAAGCCCACCGTGGCCAGCCCCCTCTAGGCTCCCACTCACAGCTCCCTCTTCTTCTCAGCTCCAGCGATTCAAGCGTTCCCTCTCCCTCAAGACCATCCTCCGAAGTAAGAGCGTGGAGAACTTCTTCCTTCGCTCGGGCTCTGAGCTCAAGTGCCCCACCGAGGTGCTGCTGACACCCCCAACCCCACTGCCCCCTCCCTCCCCACCACCCACAGCCTCGGACAGGGGCCTGCCCACCCCATCCCCCTCCCCATGCCCAGTCCCACGCCCCCTGGCGGCGCTCAAACCAGTGAGGCTGCACAGCTTCCAGGAACATGTCTTCAAGCGAGCCAGCCCTTGTGAGCTGTGCCATCAGCTCATTGTCGGTAGGTGCCTGGACACTGAGGCAGCCGAGGGGAGGGGACGGCGTGGGTGCTGGGGAGTGGGCCCATGTTGCTGCCCAATATATTATTGGGTTCTTGCTGTTCAGGGGCCCCAATACTAACTGTGCCTCTTTTATTTTTATTTTTATTTTATTTTTTTGAGACAGAGTCTTGCTCTGTCCCCCAGGCTGGAGTGCAGTGACGCGATCTTGGTTCACTGCAACCTCCACCTCCCTGGTTCAAGGGATCCTCCTGCCTCAGCCTCTGGAGTAGCTGGGACTACAGGCACATACTACCATGCCCAGCTAATTTTAAATTTTGTTTGTAGAGATAGGGTTGTGCCCAGCCGGAGCGCGGTGCTTCAGCCTTGTAATGCTCTTTGGAGGCCGAGACGGCTCACACCGACAGTCAGAGAAACACGAGACCATTCCTTCAGGCGGAATCACACAATCAGAAACCCCCGTCATACACACTCAACAAACACCAAAAATAGAACCAAATTAGCACGGCGCAAGGATGGGCGGAGACATGTACACATACTTTGGGAGGGATTGAGGCAGGAGCGCATCGGGGCCGGGCAGAGCTTTGGGCGTGAGCGGGGATGCGAGTTGGGTCCAGCTGGGAGAGGCGAAACCGCCTCAAAAAAACAAAAAAGAGATAGGGTTGTGCCATGTTGCTCAGGCCTGGTCAAAACCCTGGCTCGAGCATCCATCTACCAATCAGCCTCCCAAAGTGCATGGGATAACCAGGCGTAGAGCCATTGCACCCACCCCTAACTGTGCCTCTTACCCCAGGCAGAGAAAGGAGCACCACCAGGCATGGCGGTATACTCAGTGTCACTGCGGCATTTACTAATGACTCTGGCTTCCGTGCTCCCTCATACTCTAACTGTGTGAGGGGTAGGTGCTGAGCCTCAATGCTGGCATGAGAATGCCCAACCCTTGCTCTCCTCATGCCATAACGTGCCCCTCCTTTGCCCTTTGCCCATGGGGGTGTCCTCAATTGTTGAACCCAAATTTTTCCTAGGAAACTCCAAGCAGGGCTTGCGATGTAAGACGTGCAAAGTCAGCGTCCACCTCTGGTGCTCTGAGGAGATCTCCCACCAGCAATGCCCAGGGAAGACGGTGAGCAGGGACCCAAGCAGAGATGGCCAACTGAGTGCTGCCAGTACTGTCACATGGGGGAATGAGTCTCCCTCGGGGCTGCTCCTTCCTGTGGGGTGGGCCCTGGGCTTGGGAAAGACCAAGTTCTCCATGGGCCATGACCTCCTCAAACCCTCTGTGACCTCTCTTGCCATAGTCCACCTCCTTCCGCCGCAACTTCAGCTCCCCTCTCCTGGTACATGAGCCGCCACCAGCCTGTGCCACAAGCAAAGAGTCCCCACCCACTGGTGAGTGCCGCTGTCATTGCCCTGGCCGCTGTCCCTGCTCCCACTGTGGTGTGATGAGAAATCAACATCCCTGATCATCCTGGCCAACACGGTGAAACCCCATCTCTACTAAAAATACAAAAAATTAGCTGGGCGGGGTGGTGGGCATCTGTGGTCCCAGCTACTCGGGAGGCTGAGGCAGGAGAATTGCTTGAACCCAGGAGGTGGAGGTTGCAGTGAGCCAAGATTACACTACTGCACTCCAGCCTGGGCTACAGAGCGAGACTCCATCTTAAAAAAAAAAAAAGAAATAAACATTTCTGAGATGGGTACGTGAGTCACGTTGGCACAGACAGTTCTTGGCTCTCCTACCATTTCCCTTCTCTGGATGCTCCTGTCCTGAATTTGGGGTTCATTCATTCATTTAGTCATCATTCCTTCAACAAGCACTTCATTAAGCACGTACTAAATGCCAGGCACAGTGCTGGACTCTGAGACACAGTAGTGAAGAAGTTGGAATTTATTGTCTAGTAAAGGAGATAGGACTGAAACGCACAGTCATGCAAATCATCAATCAATCACCATCAGTATGAGTGCCTTAAGTGGGGAAGATAGAGAATAGAGCATAGAATGTGTGCTGACAGCTGGGTGTGGTGGCTCGTTCCTGTAATCCCAGCTACTTGGGAGGCTGAGGCAGGAGGATTGCTTGAGCCCAGGAGTTGCAGTCCAGCCTAGGCAACATGGTGAGACCCTGTCTCTAAATTAAGAGAAAAGAAAAAGCTCACTGTCTTCATCTGCAAAATCAGGGAAGACTTCCCAGAAATGTGAAGGATGAGGCACAAGGGGTTCATCCATTTAGGATCTGGAAAGACTGGTGTGGGGTAGAAGGAAGCCTGAGAAAGGAAGGACAGGGAGTTAAAGAAAGGGCAAAGCGCAGAGCATGGTGGCTCACGCCTGTAATCCCAGCACTTTGGGAGGCCGAGGTGGGTGGATCACAATGTCAGGAGTTTGAGACCAGCCTGACCAACATGGTGAAACCCCGTCTCTACTAAAAATACAAAAATTAGCTGGGCATGGTGGCGTGCACCTGTAATCCCAGCTACTCAGGAGACTGAGGCAGGAGAATCACTTGAACTTGGGAGACAGAGGCTGCAGTGAGTGGAGATCGCGCCACTGCACTCCAGCCTGGGCAATAGAGTAAGACTGTGTCTCAAAAAAAAAAAAAAGAAAGAAAGGGCAAAGTGGCTGGGGCTGAGGGAGGACGATGGAGCGGGGCTGTAAAGAGACCATGGGTACAACTGGGCGCGGTGGCTCAGGCCTGTAATCTCAGCACTTTGGGAGGCCAAGGAGGACGGATCACTTGAGGTCAGGAGTTCAAGGCTAGCCTGGCAAACATGGTGAACCCCATCTCTACTAAAAATGCAAAAAAAAATTAGCCGGGGGTGGTGGCAGGCGCCTGTAATCCCAGCCGAGGCAGGAGAATTGCTTGAACCTGGGAGGCGGAGGTTGCAGTGAGCCGAGATCGTCCCATTGCACTCCAGCCTGGGCAGCAGAGCGAGACTCCATCTCAAAAAAAATAAAAGAGATCATGGGTATGAGGCTTCGGGGTCCATTTTAGGGTAGTCTTTTGGACTTTCTTCTAAAGGCAATTTGTGTGTTTCTACAAAACTGTTCTGGCTGCTGTGTGGATTGGCAGGGCTGGAGTGGAAGCAGGGAGACCAGTTGAAAGGCCACAACAGTTGCCGAGAGAGTGTGGTAATGTAAATGAGACTGCTAGCAGTGGCGATGGAGACATGTGGACAGGTTGTAGGAATGCTGGGAGGGAGGACTAGGCAGTGGAGTGGCTGTAGGCAGTGAGGACAGCGAGGAGTCAAGGATGCTCCAGGTTTCTGCATGGGCACCATGGGAGGACCCGGAGCCATCTCTGGGAAGAGGAAGACCTGGGAGGGACAGGTGAGGGGGCAGCTGGGGAGCTCAGCCTGGGGCATGCTGAGCCGGGACTAGAGATGCAGGGCTTCAGGGCAGAGCCAGGCCTTGAGGGTGGATGTTCCGCAGGGGCCAGTGGGAAGGTGGACCCTGTCTATGAGACCCTGCGCTATGGCACCTCCCTGGCACTGATGAACCGCTCCAGTTTCAGCAGCACCTCTGAGTCCCCGACAAGAAGCCTGGTATGGTGGGCAAAAAGGGGGGTCTTTTGTGGAGGGGTGTCTGAGCATGACAGTGGGCTTGGGGGCTGAGCCCTCTCCTCTCTCTGTCCCTAGAGTGAGCGGGATGAGCTGACCGAGGATGGGGAAGGCAGCATCCGCAGCTCTGAGGAGGGGCCTGGTGACAGTGGTGAGTGGCAGTGGGCACCAGGGGCAGGAATGGGGTACAATGGAGGGTGCTCCCTGCTGCCTCTCACCCTCTCCGTCTCCCACCCCTAGCATCTCCAGTATTCACAGCCCCAGCAGAGAGTGAAGGGCCAGGACCAGAGGAGAAGAGTCCTGGACAGCAGGTGAGCCTGTACGGGCACTGGCCTGGAAGGCCAGGGTGGGAAGTGAGTATAATTTCTCCTTGTCATTGATTCATAGGAGGGCAAGAGCATGGTGCGTGGGGATTCACTGCTTCCTTACTTATCCTCAGGGATGGGCAATGCCAGGATGAGAGGGCATAGGGGGCAGGAGGAGTTACCCTCCCACCCCAGCCCACTGCCCATTGCACCCATTTCTGCTGTCCCAAAGGCAGGCAGCCTCAGGGTACAGCAGGCAGAAGGGGGCTCCCCTCTCCATGCCCGACCCAGTGCCCTTTGGGGTGGGTGAGCATAGCATGTACAAGGGCCTCACTTCTCCCTGCCGTTGACCCAGGACTCACTGTGTCCTCTCGCAGCCCCCAGGGTAGCACACTCAGAGCGAGTGGAGAGTGGGGGGAGTGAGGGTGGTGCTTTCCGGTCACCGACCCTGAGATTCTCCTGCAGCCCCCCAAAGCCGCCCTGCGGAAGGATGTGGGGCCCATGTACTCCTATGTCGCACTCTACAAGTTTCTGCCCCAGGAGAACAATGATCTGGCTCTGCAGTAAGTCCCCTTTGTGACCTGGCCCCGCTGGGCAGCTCTGCGCTCCTAGACCTTGGAGCACAGTGTGAGGGGGGCTTTCAGGAACCTTCTCCTTGCATGCTTGAGGCTGCTGAGCCCAAACAGGAGCTGGAGCTGCCCAGGGTCTAAGTGTGACTCATGCTAATCTCGTGTCTCCTGCCCTCTGCCTGGGCTGCCCAGAGAGTGCCTGCTGTACCTGTAGTCACACAATGTCCTCTGAGGGCATCAATAATCCTCTCCCAGTGGGGCGCGGTGGCTCACGCCTGTAATCCCAGCACTTTGGGAGGCTGAGGCTGGCAGATCACTTGAGGTCAGGAGATCAAGACCAGCCTGGCCAACATGGTAAAACCCCATCTCTACTAAAAATACAAAAATTAGCCGGGCATGGTGGCAGGTGCCTGTAATCCAGTTACTCGGGAGACTGAGGCAGGAGAATGGCTTGAACCCGGGAGGCGGAGGTTGCAGTGAGCCAAGATCATGCCAGTGCACTCCAGCCTGGGCGACAGAGTGAGACTCTATCTTAAAAAAAAAAAAAATCCTGTCTCCCAGCTGAGGACTGCAGGTCCCCAAGAGGTGCCCAGGGGCTGCTAGGACAGGGAGGGGCACGACTCCCTGCTCCAAATGAGACCCTAGCTCTGTCCTCCCCAGGCCTGGAGATCGGATCATGCTGGTGGATGACTCTAACGAGGACTGGTGGAAGGTGACTTGGCAGGGTGGGGAGTGGAGGGACCCTGGTAGGCACCCCAGCAGCCCCTACCCCCAATAGGCACTGCCCCCACCTTCTCTCCAGGCCCCAAAGACAACCTCTCCTCCAACCACTGGTCCCAGCCAAAACTAGGACCAACCCTTGGGACGTCCTCTCAGTTTTGACTCTCCTTGCCTCAGCCTTGTCCCTCTGCTCACCTCATGCCATTCCTGGCCCAGAAGGCACGTGGGTGGGGGCTGGAATACAGAGAGCCCCAGATCTGGAGGATGATGGCATTGGCGCTGAGTGGGAACCGGGTCTTGAGAAAGCAGTGGTGGGCAGCAGGGGTGGGGTGTGGTGCGGGTGCTCATTGCCAACCTCATCCCCAGGGCAAGATCGGCGACCGGGTTGGCTTCTTCCCAGCTAATTTTGTGCAGCGGGTGAGGCCAGGCGAGAATGTTTGGCGCTGCTGCCAACCCTTCTCCGGGAACAAGGAACAGGGTTACATGAGCCTCAAGGAGAACCAGGTGAGTGCCTGAGGCCCAGCCCAGGCCCTATGGCGGAGGGAGGGAGTGGGTGGGGGAGACAGGCTGTGGTGTGGGGGCAAATGTTCTCTAGGAGGAGGCTGATCCTGGCAGCTGGGGGGAAAGTGGGTTAGAAAGAAAGCATTGCAGGGCCCTCCTGCCAGCCCCTGTTGGGGAATTTGGGCTGGTGACCAACAGAGACAGGAGACTGAACGACATTGGAGGGAGCTTGGGTTAGAGCAGGAGCACTGGATTCAGAGTCTAAAGCTCAGGTTTGAATGCTAGCTCTGGCTTTTTGTGTAATTTGAGGCAAGTCCTTTTCCCTCCACCCGCTCTGTGATGGGGATGAGGCAGGGCAGTACTCTCCAAGGTCAGCCCTGAAGCACTGCTTGGCATCTGCTGATGTCCTGGTCTTGCTGCTGAGGCCTCTACACTTGTGGGATCTGGTCCCATCACTCCAGCAAAGGGCTCTATCCACATCTGACACTGGTCCCATCATCCCCCAGGGTGGGTCCCCTGGGGGCCATGGGCAGGACTCAGGGCCAGGGCTGCGGGCCATGCCAGGCCTCAGCTCCATGTCTCTTTGGCTCAGATCTGTGTGGGCGTGGGCAGAAGCAAGGATGCTGACGGCTTCATCCGCGTCAGCAGTGGCAAGAAGCGGGGCCTGGTGCCAGTCGACGCCCTGACCGAGATCTGAGAGGAGCCAAGGGAACCCAGATGCCACCCTCGCCCATGCCTGGACCTTGCTTCTGGCCAGGAAGGGGATCAGGCCCCCTTGTCCACTCCATACCCTTCCTCCCTCTTTCTCTCTCCTAAGTGCCACTTACTGTGGCTTAGGAGCCTTCCGTACTGAGGAAGATTTTATTTCTTGGGTGGGGTGCCCTGAGTGGGTTGATCCTCTGGGACTTGGCAGGGATGGGGTGGGGTGGAAGGGAATGAGGAAGCTACAGGTAGGTCCACCCAGCTCCCAGGCACCCCAGTCCACTTGCCGGGCTGAGTCCAGCCCTGAGGAAGGTTCCTGGGGAATTTCTTTGCTGCTTCTCCCAGCCTTCCCCTGCCAACACACCCTGCACATGCCTGGCACACCCCTCTCCCCACAGAGCCTCTGCTTGGGTCTATGTGTGTGTGACCGTGCATCTGCTCCTTTGCAAGTAGGGTCTTGGGAGCAGGCCTTTTTGTGTCCTCGGCCCTCCACCCTAGGTGGGGAGGGGACCCAGGGCCATAGGAAGGTCCTGAGTCTACCTCCTGGTCTCCACCTCTGTCATTCCGTCAATTCTCAGGAAAGTTTTGCAGGAATCGCTCCCATTACTTGAAACCTGGGCCGACAGAGGAGGGGAAGGCTGAGGTCCCTGGAAGGTGTGACAAATCAGAGACTGTCCCTTCAAGTAGAAAACCCAAGAGCTGGCCGGGTGTGGAGGCTCACGTCTGTAATCCCAACACTTTGGGAGGCTGAGGTGGGTGGATCACCTGAGGTCAGGAGTTCAAGACCAGTCTGGTCAACATGGTGAAACCCCGTCTCTACTAAAGGTACAAAAATTAGCCAGGCATGATGCGGATCTGCCTGTAATCCCAGCTACTCCAGAGGCTGAGGCAAGAGAGAATCACTTGAACCCAGGAGGCGGAGGTTTCAGTGAGCCGAGATTGTGCCATTGCCCTCTAGCCTGGGCAACAGAGCAAGACTCTGGCTCAAAAAAAAGAAAAAAAAAAAAAAAAAAAAAAAAAAAAAAAAAAAAAAAAAAAAAAAAAAAAAAGAAAGAGAAAAAGAAAAGAAAACCCAAGAGCTACCTGGACACACGGAAACCCAACTGAGAACAAAACCCTGGCCCATGCTTGGTCAAAGCAAACCCATTTCACTGTCAGGACCCCTGGTCACACAGGAACCACCCGCCAGGGAAGCCTGTGACTGTCAGTTCCTGTCCCAGGCTTTGCCCGGCCGCCCCAGGAGTCCAACCCTCTGGGCTGACCTTTCTCCCACTTCTCTCCAGGCTCTGCAGGGGACAGGGCAGGTGCTGCAGGAGCCCCTTTGCTGGCTTTATCTGCTCCCTTGTTCTGGACACAGAGCCCTGGGAAAAAGACGGGTGGAAGACAGACAAGGAAGGTGGAATGTTCTATTTGGCCACCAGGAAATGGGGTGGGTGGGCATACACAGAGAGGACCCCTCTCTTAATACAGGCTGCTTTTCTCGGTGCCAACCTCCCTCCCCCAAGCTCAGATCCTCCTCTTATGCCCTTGATTGTGCCAGCCCATGCCACCCCCGTCCTGGGCACAGTTACACCCTCCCATGCAGTGGGAGAGACACAGACCCTCCTACCCAAAGGCCCCTGCCCCACTTCTCCCCCGCAAAGCGGGGTCTCAAGCCACACTGCCCTGTTTGCTGCCATGAGGCCCCCCCAGCAATATCCCAGGGGCGGGCCCAATGCCCACTGTACATGAGGCTGCATGATGGGTCTGGGGCCTTGCTGAGCCCCTAGACACCTAATTAAATGTTTCTTGTCCCAGCCCATCTTCTCTGTGTCTCTCACTGGGGCAGAGGAAGGAAAGGGGCAGGGAGGCGGGGAGTGGGGTCTGGGGATACTGAGAGGGACAAGGCTGAGGGTGGAAGGATTCCTCCATCTCTGAAAGGAGGGGTGCTGGGCAGGCGGCAACATAGCAGGGGTCCCAGGCCTCATCCCCTTCCTCCAGCAGCCCGAGGAGGGTGGGGTCTGGGGAGAGCCAAAAGGGGACCTGAGGAAAGTGGGAGGAGGTCTGGGGACGCTGGAGGGAAACGGCTTGGGTCTGCGGTCACTTTCCGCCTCCACCTGCACCTGAGTCGCGCGAGGGCGGACACACTCCTGCGCGCCAGGGCCGTCGAGACCGATCTTGCTCACCCAGAGGTGCCCTCCGAGGCCGGGCGTGCCAGGGGTCTGGGAGGGCTCAGTACCCACCCCGAAGTCAGCCTCGCCCCCGCAGTCCCCCAAGCCGGAGACAGAAACGCTGGCGGCGGGGACAGTCGTGGCCCGTGGGGCCACGGGATGAGTCAGTCGCGCCTGTCATCGGAGCCCAGCACGGAGGGGCCGCACCCCTCCCGCCGCCGCGCCCGCCGCCCACCGCTCTGGCAGAGCTGCCTCCTTCCCCTCCGCCTGCCCAGCCGCGTCATCGCCACGGCGAGCACGTCCCGTGCTATTTATAGGCGGAGGGGAGCGGGGCGCGAAGGAGAGGCGGGCTGCGGGGGTGCTGGGGCACTGCTGGCGCTGCCGGGATGCAGAGTGGGGGCTGTCTTTCCTGATGAGCGCCCCCTCCTCCACCGGTTCTGGTTCACAGCCCCCGCCCCCTGAGTAAGGTAGGCCAGGTGGGCCCAGACCTTGGGTCCTCTCCTTGAGCTTTCTTTGGGCCCCTTGACCCAGGGAAGGCCCTGGAGGTTGGGGTTGGAGAGAGCCGGGAAAGGAGGGTGGCCCTCCCTCCTAGGATCCCCAGCCGTGGGAGTGGAAGAAGGGGTCATAAGCCCAGTGTGAACGCTTAAAGAGAGGAACTCATAAATAGGCACCTACTGTGCCCAGGGAATCGTGCCAGGAACTTGATGTTACTTAATCCTCTCCAGGACCCTGGGAGGCGAGTGGGGGTGCCCTCCTCTCACAGGGAAGAACTGAGGTACAGCCAGGTTAGGTGGCTTATCCAAGGTCACACAGATTATCCAGCTCAATCCTGCCCTCTTTATACATGGGGAAACTGAGACCTGTAGTGAGCTAATGACTTGTCCAGGATCACCCAGCAAATTCGTGATCAAGCCAGTCTTGGAAACTGTGGCTTTTTCTTCTCAGTTCAGCTCTTTCCCTCCCCTGCCCTGGCTTCCTCAATGCCTTAAACCAACAAAATGGAGACAGAGACACCCTGAGACGCTGGGCCAGAGGCTCCAGGGATCAAGAGCCTGAGAGCCTTGCAGCCACACTTTCTGCACACCCAGCTGTGTGTCTGCCACCGGCCGGCAGCTGGCCTGGACGCCTACCCCACTCCAGCCTATTTGCCGCACTGCTGAGCACAGCAGCTTTTTCGGGTGGCTGAACCCCCTGCAGCATGCTCACAGCCTAGGGCCTGGGAACAGCTGGTGCCCCATTGTAGCCTTTGCCCTCCTCGGTGCCCACTCTGGCGGTGGACGGACCAGCAACACCACTGGCCTGGGGCAAAGGATGCCTAGGAAGCTACTGGTGATGCCATCCCACCATTTGGTTCTGTTGTCTCTGACCCACATGTGCCCTTCATGCCCCCCCACCCACAGGCTGAGCTTCACCTGGCTTGTACTGACTGTGTGGGATGAAGGTTCCCTGGACTTCAGGGAGATGCAGAAAGAGGAGGGAGTCTGGAGAGATGAATGCTGGAGGTGGAGGGAAGAGAGAATCAGCCCCTCTGTGCAACCCCACCCATTTTGCCAGCACTGCTTCCTTTGGCCCCTTCAACCTTCTTCATCCCCATTCTTACCCCATTCTTACCAATGCCTAGGCAGATGGGGGCACCTGCCGAGGAGTGCAAGGAAGGCAGCCTAAGCCTCCCTGTGCTTTGCAGGAAGCCAGCCTAGGTCAGCCCTGCCGTAGCCTCAGAGGCAGCACTGGAAGGAGGCCAGGCCCCTCTGTATTCTCTTCTTCAGCTCACAGCCCTGCAGTAGCAGCTGTGCTCAGTGCCTCTGCTGCACCCCAATCTGAATCACACCCTCCCACGTCGGGAGACTGCAGCCCGGGAATCAGAGTCAGGCGCCAGTGTTCGTGCAGCACTGAGGTTCTGCACACCCCACTTGTGTCTGCCACCAGCCAGTAGCCAGCCTAGTCCCCCCACCCCCCAGCCTGTTTGCCGCACTGCTGAGCACAGCAGAAGAGTCACTGGCTCCTCTGGGTCTCTGTTCCCTCCTCTAGAAAATCAAGCGTTGGGTTTGCTCAGGAATTCTTTACGTGGTGAGGGTGTGGGTCACGAGCTCCTTGAAAGAGTGTGGAATATTATGATAGGAACACTTGTATGATCTTGAAAGAAAAAACGTATTTTTTTTTTTACTTTTTTTTTTCTTTTTTTTCTCTGAGATAGAGTCTCACTCTGTCGCCCAGGCTGGAGTGCAGTGGCTCAATCTCGGCTCACTGCAACCTTTGTCTCTTGGGTTCAAGTGATTCTCCTGCCTTAGCCTCCCAAGTAGCTGGAATTACAGGTGCACCACGCCTGGCTAATTTTTGTATTTTTAGTAGAGCCAGGGTTTCACCACGTTGGCCAGGCTGGTCTCGAACTCTTTTTTTTTTTTTTGAGACGGAGTCTCATCCTGTCACCAGGCTGGAGTGCAGTGGCGCAATCTCAGCTCACTGCAACCTTTGCCTCCTGGGTTCAAGTGATTCTCCTGCCTCAGCCTCCTGAGTAGCTGGGATTACAGGCGCGTGCCACCACACCCAGCTAATTTTTGTATTTTTAGTAGAGACGGGGTTTCACCATATTGGTCAGGATGGTCTCGATCTCTTGACCTCGTGATCCGCCCACCTTGGCCTCCCAAAGTGCTGGGATTACAGGCATGAGCCACCGCGCCCGGCCACTGGTCTCGAACTCTTGACCTCAAGTTATACACCCGCCTCTGCCTCCCAAAGTGCTGGGATTACGAGCCTGAGCCACCATGCCCAGCCTACAAATTATTGTTGATATTTTTGTTTTAGAGACAGGGTCTTACTATGTTGCTCAGGCTGGGATGCAGTGTCTATTCACAGGCACTGTCGTAGCTCACTGTAGCCCCAAACTCCTGGGCTCAAGTAGCCATTCCCTGTCAGCCTCCAGAATAACTGGGACTACAGGCTCACACCAATGTGCCTGACACGACACATCTTTTTTCTTTTTCCATAAGTAAGGAAACAAGAGGACACATCTTTTAATCAGATTTTCCCAAGGCTAAGCAGTTACTTTAGGGGTTCTTTCTGCTTGGGACTCCTGTGGGAGTGGATCCCTCCTAGGCACTGGCCTGGGAAGGGGTTGGAGGCCCACGACGGGAAGAGGCCAACTTCAGGCCTGGGGTGAGGTGAAGAAGTGGGGGAAACCCAAGGCCTTCCAAGAGGTAGGTTCCTACAACTTCATAACCCATCTCTTTCTCCCACCCCCCAAAATAAAAACAGAACCAGAAAAACAACTCCAGTGAGGCAGCAGCTGACACCTGCATCGACCTGTGAGCGAGTAGCACCATCTCCTGGCCCAGGGTGGAAACCAGCTTCTGCGCTGCAGGCAGCGGGATTACAGGTATTGTGCCACTCTGTCTTACAAAGAAATATAACTTTTGTAATTTTTAGTAAAG